GCGCACAGCCAAGCCCCCTTGTCGCGTGCCCCTCCCCGCGCGCGCCCCCCCGCCAATTCCCCCCGGTCCAGCGGAAGCGGCCACAAGACGGCCACTAAGTACCTCCTCGGCCCGCGCACACGATTCCTTTCTCTGTGCGCCGCAAGCGGCAGCGCTGGGCTCGCTCCTCTCTTTCGCGCTCCCGTGCGCGCCGCGCCTCTCCAGCCCCTCGCTTCCTGCTCAGCAGCGCCTGCGAGTGCCCTCAGTAGCCATTATTCACTGGCTGCCGGGGGACAGGAGGTAATTAGAGACGGCCTTGTGGCCACATCCACTAGGCTAACACGATGCGGGCGCAGGGCGCGCGCGGGGAGGGGCACGCGACAAGGGGGCTTGGCTGTGCGCAGCCCGCGCCCCAGACGCGGAGGAGGGGAGGGGAGGGAGGGGGCAGGGAGGAGGAGTGGTAAGCTGGGCGCGAGCGGGAGGAGGGGGCGCCACAGAGACGCTCCCGCAGCTCTCACCGCTATGGCCAGGTCACGGCTGTGAGGTTCCTAGGCGCCTAAAGACGGGGTGGAGGCGGGGAGGAAAGGGGGTGCCGTGCGTGCGCGCGCGCGTGCCAAAGCTAAAAGGGAGGGAACGTTTTAATATTTTTTTTCCAGTGACTTACGAGCCCACGGGTGAGCCCTTGGCTGTGCGTTCAGGACCGTGTATCAGTGTGGCTATAAATTTCTGTTCTGCCCTACGTGTGAATGTCACGGGCTGGTGATGGGGGGTGGGATTAACGAGAAACCAGCCTCTGAACATGCCGGTAGGTCTCAGCGGGGACTGAGTGATGCAGCGCTTGCGTGGGGGTGGCGTTTGTGTGCGATTGTTTATAGGTGGTAGTGTGACTGCGTGGGCGGGGCTGCCTGCGTGGGCTGTGTTCCGAGGGCGTTGTGTATTCGTGTGGGCTTGTTTGTGACTGGGCTGGCTGCTGTGTGGGGCCATGGGATTGAAAAAGTAAGGACATTGCGCCTGTGCGTGCGCTGGCCACACGCAGGGATCTGAGGCTGCCTGTGATCGTGTAGGGTCTGAAGCCTGGCCCTAGAGGATCCCACCGAGGCAGAAGAGCTGTTTAAGGTGCGAACAAGCAGTGTGCTGGGGTTGGGACGCATAATGACGTGAGTGTGTGGGTGTAGGTGTAGACAGGTAGGTAGAGAGCGGCTTTCGTGACGCACCTCCCTTCATTGCACCAGAGATCCACCTCAGAGATCCTGGCACTTACCGACCCCACAGACCTAGAGGTTCAGGGGTTGCGGCGCGGGGGGTGGGGGGACACTGAGGGAGCCTAGGGTATAGTGGAGGCCAGCAGCGAGAAGGGGGTCGAGAAGGGGGTCGTGCCTAAAGATAGCCGGAGAGTAAGATGAGACAAAGAAGCCTGGGACTCTGAGGCTGGACCTCGGGGGTGGGCGGGCCCGCCACCGCGCTAAAGGCAGACCCTGGAGCACGGAAGTGCCGCACTTGGACTCAGATTGAGAGTGTGGCTAGCCAGCCCTTTTCCAGGCCTTTTCCTGCCCACGCAGCCTCCCACTCCATTCGCCCATTCATTTATGAATCTGTACACCCATTCAAGCACCCATCCAGATTTTCCAAGCCAAGATTACCCAGATCCCACTCCCTGCACCTTCTCTTCGTCCCCAGGCACTATTTGCTCTGTGGAAAGGAGCTACCTTTGCCCATGATGGTATACCAGCTAGGTTAGGAGGAGGGTGGTCATGTTTGCTCACAGCTTTCCCTGCAACCTGGTGAGGCCCAGGAGGGAGTGTGTGATGTCCATTGTTGTGCTCCTGGTCCTTGTCCTGAAAGTCACCCTAAGCCTGCCTGTGGAATGGAAAGACGCTTTAAAAACACATTCCAAGCTGAACATAAGGGGGCTGACTTGGAATCCCAGAACTTAGGAAAGAGATAAAGGCAGGGGTTCAAGGCCAGGCTGAGATTCTTGAGACCCTCTCTCACACAAAAAAAGAAACAACAAAACAGATTTCCTTATCAAGTAAATATCCAGAGCCCTTGTTCAGGCTGTTCCCTTTACTGGGAATCAGCATTTACAGCCGTGCTTGGCATTTCTGAGTTTCCTCTGGTCCCACGACACAATAAGGACCTCCTTATTGTCACTTGAAGAGCACACCTCTGCCAAGAATCAAACTTAAAGGATGAGGTCCAATCCACCCAACTTTGAAATATAGAGCTTCTTAGTTTTGGTCTTCAATGACCTGACCTGGGAACTATGGCAACAAGTCCTGAGGCAGCCATGAGAACCAGAAGCCCTACTGAGGGCACCATCAAGTCTGGCGATAGACCAAATCATAGGCTGACCTCTTCACCCCCACCCACTGGCACTTCCTAACTTACCTCCCTCCTCTGTGCAATCACTCACAAGGCCATGTATACAAGAGGCACACAGAGAGGAAAATGTGTGCCTGTGAAGGGCTGAGGCTGGCTTTCTTCCCTGAATCTTAAATTTTATTTTTGTAATTAAAAAAAAAATTCAGTGGGGGAGGGGACTGGAGAGATGGCCCAGAGTGGTCGTCCAGAGGATTGGAGGAGAGGGGGTAGGGAGTATCCAGTTCCAAGAACACCATCTCTAACTCCAGTTTCAAGGGTTCAAACACCGTCTTCTGGCCTTTTCAAGTACCAGGCAAGCATGCATGTGGCACACACACACACACACACACACACACACACACACACAGGCAAAACCTCATACACATAAAAATAAATACAAAATTTAAAAATTTTATATTACAGGCGTTTTGCCGGCATGCATGTCTGTGCACTATGAGCATGCCTGGTTAAAAGAGGGTGCTGAATCCTTCCTTTAACCAGAGTTACAGATGGTTGTGGGTGCTAGAAACCAAATCCTGGTCTTCTGCAATACCATCACATGTTCTGAACTGCTGAGTCACCTCTCCAGGCCTCTTCCCCCCCCAGCCTGACGCTTCAGTGTTTCTACTGGCTGATGGTACCTTCATACAGGCTCTCTGGCCTCATTACAGCGCCCTTCTTACTGTCCATGCTGCTCCCTCTGCCTGGAACACTTTCCCACTTTCAAGGGAAAGTAATTTTCCTGTTTATTTGTTTTGTAGGTGGCTTTTCTGGTTGCTCCTTGGTGTGCCCTCCACTGCTAGATTGGTACCTGATATACATTCAGTAAGTATTTAGTGGTAATCGATGGTGAGAGAATGATGTTAAACTAGGCCTTCCATCTGTGACCATGATTCAGCCTGTGGCTTCTCTATGAACTGAGAGCCTCTTGCACGGGGTGGTGGGTTAGAGAGGCTTGAGGTTCATTCAAGCTACAGGACTCACCTACCTGTGAGTACTCTTCACAGGTCCAGGAGGGTCTAAAGGAATGAGGTAGAGGTTGTGGCTTGTGCCCAAGAAAAGAGGCGTACTTATTTGTTCTAGGGGCCTCTCTGGCCTAGTGGAGCTCCTAACTAGAAAGGTCAAGAGAGGTTGTGTTCCTATCTGCCCACCACGGGATCTGGCATGTGGTGTTCACAACTCAGTGTGGATTTAGCAAGTGATAAAGTCAAGACTCACATTTAAAACTGCATGAGTCTAGCCTCTGGCTTGCTCCCCAAGACTCTGCTGGCAGGGTTCTGCGTGGTGGGAGGTGGCATAGGCAGGCAAGTACAAATCACCTCCATACAAGGGATGGACAGGTGTAGAGCTGCCCACAGGAAGCTTTCCTGGCTCCCCAGCCTCGGACTCCACCTCCTACTAGGTGAGTCCTGCCTAGGGACAACAGAGTGGTGGCCCCTGCTGAATTAGGAAGAGTTTTATGGGTGCTTCCCACTAGGTGTGGCTGGATTCCTGGAGCAGGCTGACCAGCCAGCCTCAGGGTTACCTATGGCTATTTCAACAGCTGCTTCAGGGCTCACTGAGAGAGAAGTTCCAGAGAAATTGAAAGGCTGGAGACTTAAGCAGGAACACAGAGAAGTCTGGGGGTGAGGGGACAGGACACAAAGGACAAGGCCCCCGGGGATGGGGTTAGCCAGGGGACACTTAGACAGACACAAGAGGAGAAGGACATGGACCCAACCAACCAAGATAAGTAGGTGTCACTGAGATTCAGAAGTCAAGTTCAAACAGCCCTAGGCTGATAACTTCAGGCTAAAGTCTGCAAGACTGGGCTCAGAAGTCAGCAGGGTGTTTTTTATTTGCTTTGCTGGAGTGAGGCAGGTTTTACTTGTATTCTATGCATATTTGGGGGAGGGGAGGCGATTTCAAATCTCCATATATCCTCTCCATTTCAGGAATCCGGTCACTAACATCCAATGATGCCCTTCCCAATGTCACATAACTTCCAGGTGGTAAGTGTTCATCTACAGGTTTGGTAGATAACATGCTGAATACCTACTGTGTGCAAGGATCTGCTGTCTGTGCATAGGATCTACAGCAAGAAATGAGACAATAAGTCCATTTTCCTCCCAAGTAGGCATGAAACAGAATGGAGAAATAAATGATATACAATCAACACGGTTTATTCTGAGAAATATCTCAGGAAATTTCATTGTGCCATCATAGTGTCCTTACACAAACTAAGACATATCTGCAAACGACACTAGGAGACAATCTTAGGAATCTCTGTGGTACATGCAGTCTGTTATTGAGTGAAATGTTATGTGGTGTCTGACTATAGTTATGTTACTCTTAGGGTGCTAAGAAAATAGAGAGCCAGGGAAGGGGCTGGGACGATGGGGTGAGGGCTGTGTTTTTATATTAAATGCCAGAAAACTCATGGCTCAGAACATAACTGGAACGGCTATGTGGTGGACATTCAGATAACTGGAGGGAAAGCTGCAGGTGAGGCGGTAAACAAAGGCCCGAGGCAGGGGAGCTTGTGGCCATGTTTTATAGTGTGTCAAAGAAAGGGACAAAGACACACCCAGAGGACCCAGTACACCATAGTAAGGACGTTCTGTTTTACAGTGAATGTGACTGGGGCATCTTTGCTGTGTTTCAAGCATAGGAAGGGCATAATCTCCCCTCAGTCCTCATTATAACCTGTGACTGCCAAGAAGAGATTGGAGGTAGGGCCAGGGCAGGAGCAGGGAGGGCGGCAGGCGGTTTAGTCTGAAGCCAGGGCTCAGTGGGCTGGCTGGGCAGTTAACAAAGAGCTTCTGTGATCCTCTGTCCACGATGTGGACCTAGCTCAACTTCACACCTGGGCATGGGGAACCTATCCCTCAGGTTCCATGATGCCTCAGCCTCCATGGTGGCCCTCACACCTGTTAATCATCTTCATGCCATCTGGCAACTTCGTCATGCCAAGGAGGGCTTTTATTCATTGGCTGTACTATGGTCTTCTGCCTGGGTGCAACATGGGCAACCTGCTACCTTCCCACCCACCTCCGAGCACCAGCATCATTTTATGAGAATGCCAACCCAAGTCAGCTGTCAGACCTCCCTCCTTGTGGATCCGATGTGTTCTTAAAAGACCAAGGCAATCTACGGCTGCAGCTCTGCTTTACCACATCCCTGTGGAATATTCCTGGCATGACAGGTATGGTCATAGTGCTGGGAGACAGCGGTGAGCAACCAGGTAACCCTGCCTGCACTGGGGGTGGCGTGGCCATTCACCACCAGCTTGTGCCTTTCTGTTCACATTAGAACCTTCTGCCGAGTGGCACTCCCTAGGGGAGGAGAACACAGAGAACATGTTTCTTTTTGAAAGCAAAGAGCTTTGTATCTCACCTGCTGCTGATGCCCCTGGGAATGTGCGCAGCCCAATTCCTAGTTTGTGGGTCATTTTCACAGCCCACTCTCCTCCCCAAATCCCACTGGCTGACAGAAAGGATCAGAAAACCAGCAGAATGCCTAGGTTTGGTGCTGGCAGAAGGCTGTCCAGATGTCCAATGCTCCCACTTATGGAAAGAAATGCATCTCTGCCTCTGCCCTGGGCTGAGATCTCTGATGTAAGTGAAAATGCAGGTATCAGCCTAGACCAGGATCTCTCTAGCAGCCTCTCCTCTCAGTTGATTCTGATCTCCTCCATCTGTGGTTCTCCCTACCATCTGTCCGACTGTCCAACCTTCCTCAATATCTTGTATGAGGTCACCAGAGGCAGCCGGTGCCTCTCTAGGCTCTTGAAGGGCAGAACCTAAAACCAAGCCTCAAACTAACCCCTGAGGAACCCTAGCTGCTGCTAAAGCATCACTTCTGAACCCCTGCACAGTCACTTCCTGGTAGTGGAAGCTAAGCTCTGCATTTTTAGGGACTTGGAAGTGCTACCATGCTACGGGTGCTCAGCTTTTCTTTTGTCACAGGCCTGAGTGCACTTCTTGAAACCTCCAAACTTACTTGGTTGGTGCCAGTGGCCACAGAGGCCCAGAGGCGAAGGAGGAAACCATTTGGGCTGTCATCCATGGCCAGACCCAGTAGATAGCCTCACCAGGCCACATATGCCTTTACCACAGCTGGACCCCAAACCTAAGGATGTACAGAGACTCCAGAAGGGGCCCACTGCCTAGGTAAGACAGAGAGGAGATCCTGCCCACCCCCGAGGCTTCCACTCTGACACTCATGTCATGGTTCTGTCATCCCTTCTCTCTCTGCTCCTGTCTTTCTTTACCTTTCATTGGCTCTCACCCTCCTTCCTTTCTCCCCTATCTGGCCTTCCTTTCCAGCTGTCCAGACCTCCTATCTTTACCCTCATGGCCCAATCAGCTTCCTCCTTCATCTCTAGGCTTCACCTGCAGGCATTGACCCCCTAAATAATAAGTTTGGAGGTTTCCAGTTTCAGTCAGCTCCTGTGCTGGAAGAGTAGTTGAATGCCTATATCAGGGAGGTACTGTCAAGACCTCATGTGCTCAGAAGCTCAAATGGATACACACCAGAGCTGGGCTGCCACAATAGCTGCCCCTCATCTGGACACCATCACACAGCCCCAGGTGCCACAGAACAAGTGCAGTGATGATGTCTACCTCTGCCTCTCTGTCAGGACCCAAGGAACTGAGGAGAGCAGCAAGTCTGGGATGCTAGACCAAGCCCTGACCATGCCTTTTGAGGCCTGACAAAAGTCATAGGCTATCTTCTGGTAGGGGGAGGACTTGGAAGTAACCAAAGGGATGGTATAGCCAAACTCATCTTACAAAGGGCTAGAGGCCTGGGCCCAGCCATGTCAAACAGTGGCAAGCTGTGAGCAGAAGCCTCAAGGTGGGAAGGGGAAGAACCCCCCAGAGCCTACTTGGGAGTAGCTTTCAACTTCTCCAAAGGGCAGGGCGAAGCTGGGGACTAGGCCAGAGAGCTACCTGAACCTGCAGAGATTTTAGATTACCTCTGGGAAGGAGAGATGGGTGTTCTGATCAACACTGACCCTGAAGCCCAGTGCAGTGGCGCACGCCTGTAATCCCAGCACTCAGGGAGGCAGAGGCAGGCAGGTGGGTCTTTGTGAGTTCAAGGCAAGCCTGGTCTACAAAGCAAGTCCAGGACAGCCAAGGCTACACAGAGAAACCCTGTCTCGAAAAAAAAAAAAAATCAAAGCAAAACACTGACCCTGATGCAGCCTGTCATATCAGCCCTTAGAAGGCAGAGCCAGAAAGATTGCCGGTTCTAGGCTAGTCTAAGCTATACTGTAAGACCGTATTGAAAACAACCAAACCGAAACCTGACCTTTGGTTCAGCATGCTCAAATCAAGACCCTGGGTTCAGTTCCCAGTACCATAAAAAGAATCTGTCTCTAGAAGGTCACAGTCCCTGAGAAGAATTTTTAGTCAGTTCTGTGGCTATCTACCACAAATCTGAGAAGAGGAGAAAGCGACCGGGAAGGATGTCTATTGTTCCAGTTTTCTGCCTAGCTTAGGTTCCTCCCAGAACCTTCTGGGTGAGTTTATGTGGTATCAAGGGAAAGGTAATTGAGGAAAGGCCAGTGAGATGGCTCAGCAAGTAAAGATGTCTGCTACCAAACCTGATGAGCCAGGTTCAGTCCCAGGACTCACAAGGTGTACAGAGAGAACCCTCTCTGCCATGATACAAGTGTGATACTTTTAAGGCATATGTCCAGAGTCATCTGGAGCAATTAGAAGCTGCAGCTTGGAGAACAGAAGAGAGACATAGATTGACCTGGTGTCCCTACACAGCAATAGAAAACTAAGACACCTGTCAGTTGTGTGAGGAAATGGAAACTTTAATCCCATGTGGCATTTGGAGGTCTTTAAGAAGTGTTAGGTTTGATTAGCTCACTGGAATAGACGTCTCATGGCTGCACCGATTGCTTTAGAGATGAGAAAGAACAGAGTCAGGGATACGCATTGCCACCATGATGTGATATACCACTTCCAAAACTGTGAGCCCAAAGCAAACCTCTATTATGGTAACCTATGTCAAATATCATGTCATAGCACTAAAAATTAATATAATTCTTCAAATATGTCGCTGTAGAAACTGAAGTTCATTATGTTTCTGAGCCTTAGGTTTTGTTGTTGTTGTTTTTTTTTAATACCTTTCTGTGTGTTTTTGTTTTTGTTTTGTTTTACCTTTAATGTGGGAAGGATAGCAGAGAATTCATCATCCCAAAGATGAACAGAAATTACTCACCATGAGTTTTCCCATCACATGAGACCTCAATAAATGTCACTTCTGACTATGGTCATTTCCTCCTGCTCTGTGAGATCTGAGTCTTCCATCTGAGCTACGTATGGAATTCCAGTTTACTGGTATGGTCTGACTGAATCTGGAAACTCTGCTTAACTCTGCTTTCAAGTCAAAGTTACTTTTACCCTTGGCCCTAATGCTGAGTGACCACCAACACATGGTCTGGGCTACAGTGTCTATCTTCTTATGACCTCCAAATGGCCGTTTGAGGGGCCCTCTGGTCAGGCCAGAAAATGGGGTTCAAAGGGGCTCAAGCTGAGAAAGGTGGCAGCCAGGGTGAGATTCTGCCTCCAAATAAGGAAGAGCCTGCTTACAGGCAGAGCTGGCCAGAAATGGAAGGTGCAGGCAGCAACTGTGGTGTGGTGTGGAGGAAGCCATGTAAGCAGAGAAGGCTGCAGCTGCCAGTAGCTGGGGCACCACCAGAGGACTGCTGGCAGCCAGGGTCTCACGACTCCACCACAGCCACAGGAGCAGGAATGCATTCCAGGAGGCCAGAGCCGGGCCAACACTGCTGCTCCAGGATACCACACAGCAGGACTGGATGAGAGGCCAGGCTCTTCCTGGCCTACACAGAATCCTTTTTTTCCCCCTAAAGGAACACCTACTTTTTTTTTTTTTTTAAGGGGGAAGTACACAAAGCAGAAAGAAAAAGTTCCCAGCTTCCTTCACTCAATGAATTTCTGTAAACTCTTTCTGGTCATTTCTTCTGTGTGCTTCAATTTAGGTTAGAAATTTTCATCACTAAGATACCTTAACTGAGACGTCGTTCACATAGTTGAAGCCTCACTTCTTTGAGAGCTGAGATGTGACAGTGAGATGACACAGGCACAGTTTTCATGAGACTCTGGGTTTGATACCCAGCATTTGAAATGAAATTCACAAGTCAAGAGGGGTTTGGTTCATCCACAGGGCTGCTCAACTAGTCCTGCCATCTCATTTCAGATGCTGTCCTGGTGGGAGTCCAGGCCTCCTCCCTTCCCTAGCCCAGGCCAAGGTCACCCACAGGCTACATACTTGCCTGTTCAGGACCTTTCTTTCTCGTTCTTTTAATGGGATTTATTTAAAATCGTATAAATTACATAAGTACTTATAAAATACGTAAATAAATAAATCTAGGGCAGATTAATGTAAAGTCAGATACACTTGCACTCATTAATTTTAGCCTCTTTTGTTTCTTGTTTTGTTTTTTTTTAAAAAAAACTATTTTTATTAATTTTTTGAGGATTTCTTAAGATGCGTTTTAACAATGTCCAACCCATTTCTCTTCCTAATTCTTCTAAGATTCATTCCTATCTCCTGACTCCCTCCCAACTTGGTGTGGTTTTTGTTGTTTTTAAATAAACAGAGTCAAATGTGTGATTGCCATACACTGGAGCTTGGGTGACCTAACAGGGGGCCATACCCTTAAGGAAAACTGAGTCTCCTTCCTCCAGGCGCTATCAATAACTCCTTAGTTAGGAGTGTGGGGGGAGTGCCATGTGCCTTTCTTCCATACTAGACTATTAAGTGGCTTGATCTTGTTTTATGCAGGGCACCACAGCTAAGGTGAGGACAACCATCCCAACATTTCCTAGACACTTCTGTGCCCAGCATGGGCATGCTTGTTTGTTTGAGACTGTATCTCACTATGAATCCCTGGCTGGCAAAGATCAGCCAGCCTCTGCCTCCCGAATGCTGGGATTAAAGGCGTGTGTCACCACACCTGGCCACACCAGCACTGTTGTTTCTTTGTTTTCTTTTTGTTTGGTTGGCTTTCATTCTTTCTTTCTTTCTTTCTTTCTTTCTTTCTTTCTTTCTTTCTTTCTTTCTTTCTTTCTT